TTTCTCTATGAAAAGTTATTCACATCTACTAGAATCTAGCCAAGCACTGGATAAATGTGACATCAAATTAATCAGCATTTCATACACTTCCAGGTGAAAGTTTAGAAAATCCACAGCATTTGTTTTCCACTCCGTATCATCCCAATTTCAAGGACATCTATACCCTGTTTTTCTACACAACTCTTAGCTAAGGCATGCCTCATTAGCTCACATGCAAGCCTTCATGCCTCCATAACCTAAATTTCTTTTCTCACCTTCCTCAGATGATATTTCTTACCTCATTGTTGAAGCTCAAATTGATTTACTGCCCCCAAACACAATTGAAATGCTCTACGCTTTCCTGGCCCCTTTAAACTCTCCTCAGTGGCAATGGGTGTGGAAGTGCTGTTCAGGTCTTTGCATTTAACATCATTTGATTCTTCTCTCTCTGTCCTCCATCTCCCTCACCTCCCCTTATTTGTATTCTCATCAGTGTCACATTAAATGCTGTGGAACACGCTTTTAGGGTAATAACAGTACTGAAGTTTATGAAAAAAAAAAAAAAAAAGGATTGATATCAGCCTCATAAAACTCACGGGAAGCAATATCTTTTCTGTGCCTTGCCATCCCTTTAACTGCAGCTGCCTTCATACATTGTGGAGGGAGAAAAGAGTTTTTTAAAAAAAAAAGAGAGAGGAAAAAGGCGATATCTCCAAACAGCAGTGGGATTTTGGAACCTGGTGTGCCATTAATTTCTTTATCGCTTTAACAGCAAGGAAGTTGTACTTGCTTCTTTGTATTTCAGTGGTGTGTTCCTTTCAAGGGCTTGGTAATCTTTTTCCTTAAATGTCAGTAGATTCTGAAACACTCAAGCTTTGTAACCAGTGGTTTATAGCCGTCACACACCGAAAGGGCAGCAGATGAAGAAACTGTCTATTATTGTAAAGAAACTGAATATATGCCAGGTATCAGGATGGAACGAGAAACAAGGCAGTGAAACCAGGCAGGAGTTTTACACTAAAGCCCAAGCTGGTGGCACCCAGTTCCCCCTGTGAACTTGCACCATCATGCTGAATGATGTCCCTCCCTCACCTGTTTATCTGCAAGTTGGTTCTTCTGAATATGAACCCAAAGCCACTTTTGGGCTAGGGTCATACTCACACTGTGCATTACTGGTTTTGAATACAGGACTTGATATGGGATCCACCACTTATTTCAGCACCAATTCCATCAGATCTCACTGCTCCAGAGCAGCACCTGTGTCAAGCACAGCCTGCTGCAGCTGCAGGAGGGGAGGCTGGGCTGCAGACCTCACAAAGCTCAAGGACTCTGGCATAGCAATCCCTTGTAGGGTTGTACACCAGTTAAACAGCATGAGGCTTTTGAGCAAAACCTCCCTGCTTCTATTCCAAGAGACACTGGAGAGGCAAAGCGAGGCCATAGACCACTCAGCCTTACAGCACCTGGAGACACTCTCTCTCCAGGAAATTCCCATATGCCTTAAAGCAGCATCTCCCATATCCCTGTATTTTTCCAAATCAGTGCCTTAGGAAAACTTTTTTCAAATAATTACTCTTTCAATGGCCTGTTTTTCTATTCCCAAGTCACAGCTTAACCTTTGGCTTTGCAGGTTGAAAAACTGACACCGATACACTTAAGATGAGGAAAACATCTTCTATTTTTTTTCTTCCCTTTTTTTTTTTTTAGTCATTTTTTGCAGTTTTTACTCTTGATAGTAGATATTAAATTTGACAAAAAAGGAAAAGCCATTGCATTTCAGCTTTCAGCTTCACTGCCTCTAAATATGTCATTTCCCCCATTTTAATTATTTTTTAGATGCTGCCAATTTAGGAAAACTTGCAAAAATGGACAGATGAGGGGTGGAAGAACCTGAAGAAACAAGCTACCTTGCCAAAACCATCCCACTAATCCCATCAACTAGTCCACGTTTGCCAGAAGCAATTGCAAAACAACAAACAGGCTTTTTATTTTTAAAATTGGCCAAATTGTCCTGGCTCCACGTTCCCCAAGATCCAACAGGCTGTAATACAGTTATCCCAGCAGAGGTATGATTCTTAGCTTAGTAAAGTCAGTGGGAGTTTCTGCACAGGCTTTTCTCTGAGCTCTGGAACAGACCATACAGACACAACCCACAGCCCTTCACAGGGAGAGGCCAATAGGTGTCCACTTGGTGCTCAGCATCCTAAGATGGAAAGTAAGATGATTTTGAAATCCTGAGTTCAGGTTAAATATTTGTCCATTTTTGTCTATATTCTTCTTCCCTCCTCCTTTTTCTCCCCTCCTCCTTTTTTTTTTTTTCTGTCTGGGGGAAGGTTTTTCCAAATGTGTTCACCTCAGCTAGGTGGGTGATGACTGACCAGGCAAAAAGGGAAGGCAGCCAGAAGGTTGCAATGTCAAAAAATTGACAAAGGATTAATAGCTTTCAAAGAGCTGTGTTGTCAGATAATCACTGAATGCAGTCACTGAGTACAGGCCTTTCCCCAATAACTCCAATATCAGGCTCATCAAAGTGTGTTCTTAGTCACAAATGTGTAAAAATCAAGTAATTCTCAGAAAAGTGTTACATAAACACACTTTACCTGTCTTAGAGGACTTTGGAGCATGATTGAAAAGCTTTTACATGAATCATAGCTTGCCCTGAAAGGGTAATAAAGCCACAGCTCTTAAGCTAATCATCCTTTGGGTTGCAGAGCAAAAAGATATTGCAGACCTGGGCTAACCATCAAAAGAAATTGAGTAAAACAGCCCAAACTGTCTGACCAGCCTTTGGGTTCAGACTAGGTCCTTCCTTTCTGAAAAATATTAAAGAATGAAGTATTTTTTCTGCCAGGTAAGAGGACGTCTCAGGACATAGCAGAGGTTGACCCAGTTGAAATGAAATAATTCTATAAATACCATGGATTTGTTACAGGAAGCTAGCAATGCCCCAACCCCAAATCAGATCCAAGCCTTGGAGAAACACATAAGTAGATTGAATGAACTTTGTTGGTTGGGGAAATATCTCCAAACTGGTGAATTAATATTGCAGACCAGAGGATTATTCACTGGAAAGCTAAGGGGGTTTTGGCTGAGTTTATAGCTACTGGATTTAATCTATAGCCTATGCTGCCTTTGCTCTCCCAGCCCACTACAGCTGCTGGGATTTGGCTCCTTCTCTACTTTACAGTCTAACAGAGTTCGAAATACACCCAACAGCACTTGAGGAGCTGCTTGTGGCACTTGATAAACAGCTCTGGGTGCAGCATTGTTGATGTGCCTGGGGAGGTGGTGGGCGAGGGACGCCTCAGGAGTCACCTCTGTCCCTTTGTGTGCTGCTCTCCGCCTGGATAGCGGGGCTGCGTTCCTCTGCAGCCAGAGGCAGCGGCTGGTAAACAACAACGAGTATCAAGAGGGAGCAGATGAGGGGAAGAGACACAATTTAGTGAATAATAATGCCAGAATTCAATGCACCAGAGCACTTTGATTTAGCCGTTTCAGGGACTGGCAGCCCACAAAGCAGCACTTCACCTGCTGCAAGAACATTGCAAATCTGAGTAAGGAGAGGGAGAAAGTGTACAGATCATATCCTGGGACGTGAAGCAGGCAAATATTTAAACCCTTAGTCAACTGCTTCTTGAAACCATCCTTCTCCTGCCACTGCAGTCCCTTCCATCACTGCTATTTATCTGAAAATGGAGACAGTAAAAGCAGCTGTAAGGAAGATGAAGTTTGCTTGGTCTTTGGTTCATTGACAGTGGCCAGAAACAGCTGCAGCAATCTCATATTGCTCCCAGCTTGATGGGATGAACATGGGGAGACTTGGAAGCTCAGCAGTTCTGAGTATGGACAAGAAAATAGTTTTCTAAAGGAAAATGTTGAAAATCACTGTAATAGATGTCCTTTCTGTCTAAAAATGAGTTTGGTCATCCTGAAGCAGGGTGGTTGAATCCAGTCCCAAATGGCTACCAAAGCACTTGAACCCAATATGTAGGCATTTAGTTCCAAAGATGGTCAAAGAGACTGTAAAAGCAGCACAGACAAATACTTAACACCCAGCTGTTCCCGTGAAAGCTTTTGCAATTATTGCAGCTCAACATCAAACTCTACTGACTGCAAGCAATTCTTACTTTAAGACATTTCTACTTTTCACTTCCTGAGGACAGAAACACTCTCAGGCTTTTTACTGTTCTACAAGGTGGCTTGAGCAATTAACTTTGTTTTACCACTCGGTTCAGAGTGGGTGAAGATTTCAGATATAAACTGAAAGAGCGTCTCTCGATGCAATGAAAAGCACAGATCCCTTCATGATTCACTTTGGTGACCCTGTTTCACCTTTCAAAGATATTTTCACCCTGAAATCTATTGAAATCTCTTCCTCACCCTATTCCACCCTGGCTTTTAAGGACCTCTCTGCCCTGATTTTATCTCCAGTGCTGTGCATCACATATGTGCTGTTAGCATTTCCACAGAGGTCACAATTTTTCACCAGCTCACAAGGACACACATTTTGATGCAATCCAGTAGGAGCCCAGTTCTACAGATGTAGAATGAACAGGAAGATCATTTTGGTTCATGTGACGTTACAAATCACATTCAGCATCCTACATTTCCATAGCAGAACAACTACATTACTTTTTTGAGCACTGTGTGTGCATATATATATGGATATATATATGCATATAAACCCCACACATATATGATATGTATAGATGGAAGTATACACACACACTGTGCATGTTGATATATGAAGTATATGTTAGCTTCTCTGCTTCTCTGATTTCTCAATGTTATCTCTCTTTTTTTCTGATAACAGCACTCAGCAGCTGTGAAAATGGGTATTTCTGAATATATGGCATTTCCCCTTCCCAAACATTATTCTATATATGTGTGTGAATGTACAGTTGTTTGCACTTTAATATTTATTCCTCTAATTCTGTAGTTGAAGATCTTGAATTCAGTTTTGTTTCAGATCCAATAAGGATTCATAATGAAAGTTTTTCCTTTCTCCTTCTTTGTAACAGGAGTCCCAGCAGGCACATCATATTTTCTATCCTGCAGGCATGGGTTTGACTTACCTGTTTCCTCACAAAACTATGTTGGAGTCAGCTTTATTATAAGTAAATTTCCATGTGGAAGGAAAGAAGCACAGAGGAAAATGCTGGAACCTGACTGCCCTCTGCAAATGTCCATTGATTAATTCAGTTATCTTCATGATCCTAGGATGTTCTGATTTCAGAGTACCACTGCAACATAATAAAAAAACAGCTTGCTGCTATTTATTTCTTTATTGCTAGTAACAGTAAGGCGCACAGTGCAAAGAGAGGAAATTGTCTCTTGGTAAAGATTAAAACTTTAATTTGGGACCTTGTTCGAAGACATGGTCTAATTAAAAAAAAATTCTATTAAAGAGCTACAAAATGATCTATGTGTCTAGTCGTCAGTCAGACATTATTAAAATAGTTCAAGCTATTGTTTGCTATTCTTTCATCCCTGGGAACTATAAAATGAACAATATTCAAAAAATAGTCCTAAAATGAAGAAGTGGTCAAAAGTTTTGAAACTCATACAGAGAGAGACAAAAATAATATATCTTGGGCATCCAGTTTCACTGAATTATTTATTAAACATCTCAAAGGTCCTGTGCCACACAAAAAAAAAAACAAAAACAAAAAAAACCCACCAAAACAAATTAAAACAAACAAACAAGTTGATTTTGTTGGCTCTGATCCTGAAAAGATCTCATATCAGCACTAGTTTTTAGGAAATTTCATCTTAGTGTGTCAGAAAGATCATGAGGAATTGTTGAGAGAGACCCTGTTTCTCCAGTGCTCCATGCAAATTCTGCTTTGACATGGGGGAAGAAAATCTCAGGCATATAGGTTCCTACATAAAGTCCAATTTTATCTGTGCAAATTCCAGGTAGCACTGGTCTCACTCTGCCTCTGCTTAAGCATTCTGCAGTAAACAACCTACATGAAAATGCTCATCTCTCAAACCATAAAGAACATGAGAGGTAATAGCCCCAAGATAGAGCTGCTCTGCTCTCAGCTCAGCCTGTGGACTTGGAGCTCTCCAGCCAATTCCCACCGTGGAAGTCAGTGCCAACACACACGGAGTTCCAGAAGTGCTCCAGGAAAGATGATCCTGAAACCTGGGGCTCAAGCTAAAGGAGAGAGCTCCTTTATCCCAATTCTCTTGGTCTCAATTGATCTTCATGACCAGATTTCAGCCTCCAACTTCTGCATTTACTTGGACAGGGTATGTGGGAATTCATTTGTGTTTGTTACACTTGATGTGCTGTGATCCTGACGTCTTCTGGCCTGTGGTCACAGTTTCAGGCAGCAAAATCTTTCCTTACTTCCTTTGTTTGAGGTCAGTTGTGACTTTACTTTCAAATACTACATCTCTCTGAGGAATTACATACACACCCCATGGGTTGCTTCACAGCACCTTCAGTTCTCCACCAAGCCCGAGTAAAAATACTGTATAAATGAGCCCAGTAGAAAAGCCTACAAATAAAGCATTGATCAGGTAGGAACAAGCCTGGAGCATATATTAGAAAATAATCACTTTCTCATCATTTGCTAGACCACACTAATGGAAAACCTTAAAAAAAATTCTCAAATGTTGGATGAAGTTATCTTTATGGGTTTTTTTACCTCCATAGAAAGCCAGTTTTATTTCCATTAAGTCTGATGCTCCTTTTTTTTTTCCTTTAAAAACAGAATAAATAAATATTGTACCAAAGCCTAAAAGCAGAGTTAATTAAAAAGACCAAGATAATTGACAATTCAATAGTAAACTGCTAGTGCAAGCTCTGAAGTTTAAATTGGAGTTTAAAATTCCCCCAGGTTGTGCTAATCTTTGATGCCCAAGGAAACAAAAGAAGTTTTTGTTTGGGAAAAATTTATGATTTTGCATGACAATCCCCTTTCTTTAGCCTGATTTCCTAAGGAAATAGGATACTTTGTCAAACTGTCTGCCATTCCTCCCTTAATTACTTTTGAACGCACTTGCCAATTTGAAACACATTTGAAAGGGAGATAAGTCCCAGGAGCAGTGACGTCCTGCGAGTCTCACTGAAGTGCCAGGATGAAGGAGAGAGCTGGGAAGGGCTGGATCCATCCGTGAGGATCCTGCACAGCCTGCCTGGGAAGGAGAGCTGGCAAGGCAGCCCAGGCAGGGATCCAAGAAGCCACAGGTACCCCGAGGTCTGGGGTGAGTAAAGGGAGCTGCTGCTGCTCTGCTGGGAGAGGCAACAGCTACGAGTGCACACATAACCTGACTTCCCTGATCCCTTTGGTTTTTTTTTTCCCTTTGAAGCAATTTTATTTTCATAGATTCAAGATACTGGAAGTTTTCATTGGGTCAAGGAAGAAGATAGCCATTTACTGAATGCCATGCCATGTGGAGAACGACTATTACTGTTTGGGTTTTACTAATGTTAATTAGTAATTTACTAATATTACTAGTAATAGTAATATTCTATTATTTAGACGTCTCCTTCTAAAGTTCACTTTCAACTAAGACATGGTTATTTAAAACAAAACAAAACAACCCCCCCCCCCCCAAATTTTTAGCAAATCTTTTCAAATCTTTGTATTTGTAGTTGGCCAAATTCACTTCTGTCTCTTCATAAGGTAGTCTACACTGGTAAGTTTGTAAAGTCCATGCAGACCAGAGGTTACAGGCAGACAGAGAAGGAATAGGGAGACCAAATAGCCATGCTGTAGATTCTAAAAAGCATACTTACTCATATAGAAAATGACAGGTATATTAGGGAGGAAAAAAGGATTAATTTCTTCAGCTGGAAAACACCTCACAGTCTATTACTACTGCTTGTGGAAGCTGGTAGCCATCATGGCAGATGTCTTTTCTTTTCCAGTACTTCAAGAAATTAAACTGTCAGTCTTCATTTCAGCTGGTGGTTTCACCATGACATGATGCTGTGCTTAAGAGGGTTTGAATTCAAAATAATTCCCTTGGCTTCACTGTCTCCCTGTATCGGATCGGTATCTCCTGATGAAATCCAGGATATTGCATTCGAGACATCAAGGCAAATGAGGGCTGGCAAGCATGAGGTCGTGTTGTATTTTTGGCAATGAAATACTCCTGCTGGAAACCCTGGAGGACATCCAGAGCCTTAAGCTCCCTTTTTTCATCTGGGCTGGGGAACAAGTACTTTAAGCAATTCAAGATAAGACCCTCTCCCCTCAGTCAAGACAACGTCACAAGGGACAACCCCCCCGTGCAGTTCTACAGAGTTTGGCAGAGTTACACTCATGATAAATCTCTCTTATCTTCCTTCTAAAAAAGGTAACAGATAATGACTATTTAGAGTGCCATTACAGTACAAACATACTTCTCTTGGTCTTTCCATAAATTTTCCTGCACCAATTTAACACTGCAGCTGTGCAAACTGTTAGTGACTCTGTGTCCCCAGGGAGTGTAAATTTGAGGGGAAAGTGAAGACAGCATGAGTGGAACTCATAATTCAGGTGGCAGTGTGTACTGTGGGATCAAGGGAGATCTTTCCTCCCAATGCTTTATGATTTAGTGGTAACTCAGTAAAATTCTCACTAGGCTAAAGGTGGGGAAGGTCTTAATGTATTTAACTCTGAGGGAAACATGTCAATGACCTCAACATACTTAAAGAATTATTGCCCTCCAGTTGGAAACAGAAATTCACATTTCAAAGTTTCCTAGAAAAACATCTGAATTGTTCAACCCCTACATCAGGTCTAGTGGGGGTCCATGGGATTTTCCAGCACTTCTGCCTTTCTAATCTCCTAAAGAAACTCATAACACCTTGCTCTGAGTTTGTTGTGACCCTCATTCCAAGTCACTCAGAGATGCTTTAAGGGCTGGTGTCAAACACTGAGGTCTCTGAGGATTAAGGGCTGTATAGGCAGAAAAATATTTCTTCACAGAAATGGTCCCATGCTCTGAAGTGTAAAGATTGATAACCCTTGTAAATTTTCTCTTTCCCTGTGCAACTGCTGGTGTTATTCATATTCATGTAAGTGCCTAATCCTTTCCTGAATTATTTGCCTTATATCAACTTGAGTTCACAAAATAACTTTACAGGTAAGTGCCATTTTCACCCCTAAACTTTCCAGAATGATCTTGCCAGTGGCTTTTTAGCAAAGTAGTGATTTAAGGCTGATGGTTTGCACTTTGAAAACCACAGGCTCACTTTTTATGGAAAAAGGAGACTAGAAAGGTCTGATGGCTTACATTCTAGTAACAAAACTCATTGACCAGGGACAAAAATGACCTGATTGCACAGAAAAAGATTCCAGAGCAACTAAGAAACTTTCTTCTAAAGATATTTTAAAAATGCAATGGAGAAAGTAGTTGGGACTATTAACTCCTCCTGGACATTTCCCTCTCTGTGCTGCATACTCCTCATCCATTGACTGAAGTAGTTGCAAGTTGTTGCTTTTCCTTTAAGGGCTGACATAGATTTTTTTTTTCTGCACTTTTAGAGCAACAAAATAAGAAATTTTAACTCTTTGAAATCACCCATAGCTCTCCGGACCCTGGAAGAGGAAGGAGTATATCCCACACTGTGACATGTCCTGTTACCTGCCCTGTTGGACAGCGCTCAGGCTCATCTCTTCCCTTCTTGCTTCCGCTCCCAACAGCCTTTAAGCCTGCCTTTACAACTGTTTATACAATCACTGCACAGCACAACAAGACATCTGCATTTTGTCATTTAGTCTGTTATGGCAACGTTTACCAGCACTGAATTTATTCCAGGGAAAAATGAAACAAATGTAAAGACTTAAGAGGAAGTAGGTTACCATGAAATTAGAGAGTCTGATCACTTAGCATTTCAGGCAGGTGTAGTGGCTGCTAACTTGAGGGCTTTCAAGGAGTGCAGAGTAGACACTGATCAGCAGTGTCTCCAAATCTGGTCAGGCACTACTGTCAGACACAATGTCCAGTGAGTTTTTTTGAAAATGATATATAGAAAATATATTTTTCTTTAAACAAAAAAGACTTTTATAAATATGATTTAGCATTGCTTAGGTTAGTTCAGCAGAGATATACAACCTGGACTTAAGTAGCACAAGAAGATCAGGGAATTTGCTCCTTTTGAAAGTATTTGAAATCTTGAAAAAATAGCTTTATTTTGAAAGAATCTACTTAGAGGATCTCTTTTCCTTGTATTTAGGCTGTGATACATTATCTAGTGTCCCGGAAGTTCATTTACACTGTGAGAAAAATAAAATCACCAGTGATATGAGACTGGTAATCCCTTCAGTGTATACTCTTCTATGTTTAAAATTCACATACCCAGGCCCTGTTTTTCCTGAGCAGTGCAGTAATAAACCAAAATAAGTAGTGTCCTTGGACAGAAATCACTGATATGAATCAGAAATTCTCTCACTTCATGGTTTTATTTCACCCCACAG